GGATCATGGGACACCTGACTCCATAAAGAAACAAAGTGGGAGAGAAAATCTAGGAAGATGTCACCCAAGGTCATGTGGAGGTGGAAACTAACCTCCATAGCTATGGGATGGACCTCTGGGCTCCTAAACTTAGAAGGTGAGTAGGTCACAGGGTAGAGGCTTACTGAAGAGGCACAGGGAAGCCTGGATGTCTGTTGCTTTCAATTATCCAACCTCAAGTACCTGGTTATAAAGACTAGAAGAACAAACATGAAGATTCATCATCATCGCAATAGCCCATACTATGCTGTTGAGTCTCAACTGCCTTTTAGTTGTGGTTCACCTCCCTGTACAGAGTTCTGGGCCATGGACTGAGAAATACAAGGGTGCATGAGGCTTATACCTTCTGTGTATCCAGAGAAGCACCCATCTTATTAGCCTCATGTGGCCTCTTGAGGTGAAAGCCAACATCAGCCAGAGCAGAGGCCACGAAGGAGCTAGCTAATATGGCTGACACAGCTCCTTCACAGACTTTGACAGTGCACCACAAATTCCATTGGTTAAAAGCTCGGGGGGACATTTACTCCTGACAGCAATCACACAACTGTCACCTCCAAACTTACAAAGATGGGAAGTTACAGGCAAGTCCACTGTGGGCTGTTGAGAAATCTTCTTGGAACACAACAGGCTGAGGGAGCTGATAATCACCAATGAAGAAACTTCTCCCTCTACCTCATTAACACCTCAGTGTTTTGTAACAACCCTTTCTCATATCCTTCTGATGCTGAGTACAGACAGCATTAAGCCATCCCCCAACACCCAACCCCAGGCTGGCAGAGGGAAGACCCCTGCAGGAGGTACACTGGATATTCTGTGTAGACCCCCTGAGTGATTTTTATTTTTTTGGCCACAGGTGGCACCTGATTTTGGCCTGGGCACTGTCCCTCAGCTCTTCAGCTCAAGGCTAGTGTTCTATCACTTGAGCCACAGTGCCATGTCCGGCTTTTTCTACTTATGTAGTGCTGAGGAATCGAACCAAGGGCCTCATGCATGAGAGGCAAGCACTCTACCACTGAGCCACCTTCCCAGCCCCATGAGTAATTCTTGTACACATTCAATATGTAATCTAGAATCCATGGAGGGACATACACGATGCCACAGAACACAGCACAGTAGTGTCAAATTCACCCTCTAATTATGGCTCTTCATGAAACAGCATGTACCTACCCAGGTTATAAAGAACAAAGCAATAAGAGGGAGAGAGACAAATTTCCTAGAAGAACAAACATGAAGATTCATCATCATCGCAATAGCCCATACTATGCTGTTGAGTCTCAACTGCCTTTTAGTTGTGGTTCACCTCCCTGTACAGAGTTCTGGGCCATGGACTGAGAAATACAAGGGTGCATGAGGCTTATACCTTCTGTGTATCCAGAGAAGCACCCATCTTATTAGCAGGACAACACATCGGTCACCTCTCTGGTATTTCTGCCCCAAATGCAAAGCCCAAAACTAATTTGTGGAATAGGTCAGAAAATCTCAAACTATTTTCCATAATATAGTTGTCATATATTCTACAAAGATGTCACAGAAAGTAAATGAAGACTAATGGGTTGTTCCCAATGACTGGAGACTAGAAAGTCATGCCAATAAACGTAACATATAACCCTGGATGGAATAATAGACTGTAGAAAAATTTAGAAGAAAAAGAAAAAACTCACTTGAGAAAATCAATTAAAGTGATGTTGGCCAGGTACTGGTGGCACACCTGTAATCCTTGCTACTCAGGAGGCTGACAGCTGAATATTGCAGTTCAAAGCCAGTCAGGGCAAGAAAGCCATGACACTCTTATCTCCAACTAACCACCAGAAAACCAGAAGTGGTACTGTGGGCTCAAAGTGGTAGAGTGCTAGCCTCGAGCAAAAAAAGCTCAGGGAACGCGCACAGGCCCTGAGTTCAAGCCCCACAACTAAAAAAAAAAAAAAGTAATAAAATTAAAAAAATAATAAAGTGGTGTTGGTGTGCAAATGACATCTCTTTGCTAACAAGCCCCCCAAATATACCTTCCTTTACATTCAAGGGTAAGTTCCCAAAATTGCCCAGTATCATTTAGGGCTTCTTTGAATTCTCACCCTACTATATCATTTCTGCATTCAATCAGATAATATACCCAGGAAGAAAATACCATAGAATTTTGAAGCAGCATGGCGACCATAAAGAATAGAGTTACCATGATATTCAAATTGGGAAAATGAAGAAAACCACCTAGAATCTTACATTAGAGGTTTTTCAAACCTGTAAGTGGATATTAAGTCTCAACCTCTCTTTCCTTCCATCATTACCACAGCATACCCCAGGGAGGGCAAAGCTAAGCTTCTGAGACCATCTGTCACCCAACAGTGACTGAGAACTAGATCACAAGCCATCACACAGCACTCAAGCCAAAGGATCTCTCACAGCTCAACCCTCTCTCACAAACCTTTAGGATATTTTTCATTCAGTAAACATTTCCTGAATGTCCCATGCACATAGAACAACCTGTTAGACCAACACATACTAAATTTTATGCTAACAATAAAATTACAATTGCCTGGGATCCAAGACTAGAGTCCCTCAAAGTTAATCTCATTGTAAAGCTTTTAATATGAACAAGTAACAATGCACTAATTTGGCTACTTCTCCAACAAGTGAAGAATGATTAACCTGGACTAGTGCTTCATGCCTCTGAATTCTAGCTCTTCAGAAAGCTGAGATCTGAGGATCATGGTTCAAAGCCAGCCCAGGCATGAAAGTCCATGTGACTCTTTATCTCCAACGAACCCCAAGAAAACCAGAAGTGGTGCTGTGGCTCAAAGTGGTAGCGTGCCTTTGAATTCAAGCCCCAAGATCCACAAAAAAACAAAATAATGTCATCTGGCAAACCTTTCTTAAAGGACACACACACACACACACACACACACAAACACACACACACACACACACACACACACAAACACACACACACACAGGGCCTTTCCCCAGAGCAGCTGTGCACCTGGAGGAAGATGCTTAACTTGACTATTGTGTTTAGAAGTGGAGTTGCTGGAAGAAGGGGATACTTGAAGTAGCTAAGGTTATCAAGGTAGAATATTGGTGATTTTATAAGAAGAGGAGATCAAAAGACATCCAGTCAGGGTTTCCAGTGACCACGGAAAAGTTCCAGGAGATCAAAGCATTACTGTGGCTCCAAAGAAAGAAGGGCTTGTGTGGGTAGGGAGACCGGTGAGCTTTGGGTTCACGTCTGTCTCCAGTTTCAGGATGCATAATTAGAACAGAGATGATCCCCAGAGTTGCCCCTGATCTACAGGATGGATAATTAGCACATATACACTTCAGCCACAGCAGCACCCCCAACCCTGACAGAGCAAAAGGCCCTGGGAGAGGCAGGAGACCCAAGGGCCCAGATTTGCTCTGCTTCCAGAGTGAACTCAAAGACTCAACTTTGAGGTTGGCTGTGTGTGCTGCTTGGTTTCAAAGAAGTGGGAGCAGCCCAACCACTCAAGCATCAGGATAAAGCAGAGCGACCTGGAAAGAGCCAAGATAAGATCAAGTTTCCACAACCGCCCAATAAGTAAGTGGGCGAAAGACTTAAAGAGAAGCTTCTCTGAAGAAGAAAGAAGGATGGCCAATAGACACATGAAGAAATGTTCAACATCCCTAGCCATAAAAGAAATGCAAATCAAAACAACATTGAGATATCACCTCACTCCAGTTAGAACAGCAAAAATCAAGAACTCTAACAACAACAGATGCTGGAGGGGATGTGGACAGAAAGGAACCTTACTTCATTGTTGGTGGGAATGTAAACTTGTTCAACCACTTTGGAAAGCAGTATGGAGGTTCCTCAAAAGACTCCACATAGAGCTCCCCAATGACCCAGCAATCCCACTTCTGGGCATTTACCCAAATGATCACAAACAAGGCCACACTAAAGCTACCAGCACAACTATGTTTATTGCAGCATTATTTACCATAGCTAAGACATGGAACCAACCCAGATGCCCCTCAGTAGATGAATGGATCAAGAAGATGTGGTATATATACACAATGGAATTCTATGCCTCCATCAGAAAGAATGACATTGCCCCATTTGTTAGGAAATGGAAAGGCTTGGAAAAAATTATATTAAGTGAAGTAAGCCAGGCCCAAAGAAACATAGGTCCCATGGTTTCCCTTATTTGCAATATCTAGTATAGGTATGAGTCAAGCGGAAAAAGTCAGATAATGTGATGTTAGGAAAACGAAACCTCAAATATGTATTTTAATGTTTTTGTTTCTTTCATGCATGTGTTTCTAATGCATTTATAAGATTATTTCTTTGTTGCTTTGTATGTCCCTCCCCCACAGTGTAACCCCCGCTTTCACTATATTTGATGTCAGTATAACATGTGGAGGAGATGGGGACAAACAAGTCGTTTAAGGATTCAGGTGGACCTGTTGCAACAATGAGAAGTACAAAAAGTCATGTCAAAACCAGCTTTACAATGTCGGTGGGGGGGGGGGGGGTATGGTTGGGTGGGAGGGAGGGGGGAGGCTGGGAAGGGAGGTGAAGGGTAAACAAAGGAGGAGGCTGCAATGCTTGGTAAGAAATGTATGCATTATCCTGCCCATGTAATTGTAACCCCTCTGTACAGTATGTTCTCAAATAAAATAAAATAAAATTAAAAAAAAAAAAAAAAAAAAGATCAAGTTTCCACAGCGCATGTTTCCATAGCTCACTGAAGCCCTTGATGGCTGCTAAGAAAATAATATGCAATTATAGCTTAGAGACATAAATGACTGAGGCCATGGTGCCCTCCATGTGGATAACCACATGTGTAGAAGCCCCGCCCTACCCTGGCATGGTTAAAGATGCCTGCTTCACCCACAGAAGCTGATGGGGAGGGGGAAAAAGAAGCAGGCTGGTCGAGGATGGGTACACAGGACAGGAATGGGGCTTGACCCAGAAATGCCTCTGTCCTCTGGAGCTCTGGTATTCTCACCTGCATGGTGTGCATACGCAGGTCTGTGAGCAGAAGGCAGATTGTCCTGAAGACCTCTGCTTTTCTCCTCCGGGGGCTCCTGTGGTCCAGGACACTGGGAAACAGCAGAGCAACACCAAGATGTTGACAGAGGCCTGTGGGAGAAGAGGACACCAGGACCTCAGATCTGACACAAACTCTGGCCCACAGCCTGAAGCTCTCCCCTGACACGGTGACAGTGGGCAGGGTGTGTCTTCAGCAAAAATGGGTAAAAAGGGCAGTCACATGGCAGGCAGGCAAGCTGGAGAGCAGAGAGGTGTGCCTGGCTCTCCTGGAAAGGCTCTCTATAATGGTCACAGATCCTCATACCTGGGCATCAGTGCTTCCTTCTACAACCTTCCCTGTCTCCACAGGACACAGGATACACCTGCCAGTCCTACAGACTGCTGGGAGTCACCAGCCATGAGTCTTGGAGCAAGTCAGTCTGACTAGACATTTTGAGGAATAAGGATGGAGCACTAGGAAATCCTGGAAAGCTCCCAGGAGGAGACAACTGAGTGGCATGTCAGACACTAAGTGGAGTTGTGGGTCCCAGTTCTTCACTTAGAAAGGAAGCTGGTTTTCTTCTGCTAACCTGCTAAACTGCTTGCTACCTTCATGTGCTTTTTAGTTTTAAGTACAAGAGATCAAACTCAGAGCCTTGTGCTTGCTAAGCAGGTGCTCTACTGTTGAGCCATGCTTCTAAACCTTTTTGTGCTAATATTAAAATAGGGTCTTGCTTCCTTCCTGGGTGTATACCTGGGCCTCCATCCTCATATACTAGGATTCTCATTGTGACTGAGATGACAGCCACATACCACCACACCCAATGCTCACTTGAAAAGGGATCTTGTGGATGTTTCTGCCCAGGCTGGCAGAAACATGATCCTCCCAATCTGGCCCTCCCAAGTCACTAAGATTACAGGCATGAACTGCAGTGTCCATCTGCATGACTTTTCTGCCCTTGCTGTATTTTTGCCATTAATATTCAATTCTCCCTGGATTTACCCAACTAGAAATTCTGGGCTCCCCATACTGACTTGCTAGGGAACAGCCTGAATCTCAGACTTACCATCACACTTCTAAGACAAACCTGGAGACAATCAAGGGAACAGAGAAGTTAAAGAGGGCCGTCCCTCCCCGAGAAAAATTCTCCAGTTCTCCTGGGTCCTTCCAATCTCTGCAAGCAATTCCCTACTGCAGCAATTCTGAGCTGAGCTCAGCCTCCTGCTCCAGACAGTAAAACAGAGCAGAGCCTCCCTATCCCACTCCTCATCAGACTCCTCCTCCTCCTCCTCCCTCCCTGCCTGACCATCTCACCCCTACTCACAGAGAACTGCTTCTCCCACAGAGGTGGCAAACTAAGAAGTAAAATATCTGAGATGCAGTCAGGGTGAGCCAAGGAGTCGGGAAACCTGCAGAAGGAAAGGATTAGAAAATACATTAGAAGAAACTCAAAAGGTCTTAGAATGGATTCCAAGTGCAATGGAAGAAAATCCTGCCCAGAATTGGACACGCAGGTCCAGCTTTAAACCCAGGCAGGGGCTGGGAAGGTGGCTCAGTGGTAGAGCGCTTGCCTTGCATGCCTGAGGCCCTGGGTTCGATTCCTCAGCACCACATAAGCAAAAAGAAAAAAAGCCGGAAGTGGCGCTGTGGCTCAAGTGGTAGAGCGCTAGCCTTGAGCTGAAGAGCTAAGGGACAGTGCCCAGGCCCAGAGTTCAGGCCCCACGACCGGACCCAAAAAAAAAAAAAAAAAAAAAAAAAAAAGAATGTCTTCCATCAGAAAGAATGACATTTCCGCATTTGTTAGGAAATGGAAAGGCTTGGAAAAAATTATATTAAGTGAAGTAAGCCAGGCCCAAAGAAACATAGGTCCCATGGTTTCCCTTATTTGCAATATCTAGTATAGGTATGAGTCAAGCGGAAAAAGTCAGAGAATGTGATGTTAGGAAAACAAAACCTCAAATATGTATTTTAATGTTTTTGTTTCTTTCATGCATGTGTTTCTAACGCATTTATAAGATTATTTCTTTGTTGCTTTGTATGTCCCTCCCCCACAGTGTAACACCCGCTTTCACTATATTTGATGTCAGTATAACATGTGGAGGAGATGGGGACAAACAAGTCGTTTAAGGATTCAGGTGGACCTGTTGCAACAATGAGAAGTACAAAATGTCATGTCAAAACCAGCTTTACAATGTTGGTGGGGGGGGAGGGGGGGTATGATTGGTTGGGAGGGAGGGGGGAGGCTGGGAAGGGAGGTGAAGGGTAAACAAAGGAGGAGACTGCAATGCTTGGTAAGAAATGTATGCATTATCCTGCCCATGTAATTGTAACCCCTCTGTACAGTATGTTCTCAAATAAAATAAAATAAAATTTAAAAAAAAAAAAAAAAAAAAAAAAACCCAGGCAGCATCAAGCTTGCACTGCTAAGGCACTCCCTGGAGACTCACAATTCCTTGGGCCCATTTCTTGGTGATGCTTCTCAACGAGACTGATTAAAATCTGGTTCTTGTACATCTCATTGTTGCAATGGATCCACCTGTATCCCTATTTAAACTATTTGCTTTTTCCCTTTCCCTCCACAAATTATACTAACCTCAAATACAGTGAAAGCAGGGGTTATAACATGGGGGAGGGACATACAAAGCAACAACAACAAAAAAAACCATCTTATAAATGTGATAGAAACAATCACCTGAAAGAAACATTTGAATACATATCTTAGGGTTCATTTCCCTAACATCAACTTATCTGACCTTTTCTACTTGACTCAGAAATATACTAGTTATTGCAAATAAGGGAAACCATGGGACCTATGTTTCTTTGGGCCTGGCTTACTTCACTTAATATAATTTTTTCCAAGTCTTTCCATTTCCTGGCAAATGGGACAATGTCATTCTTTCTGATGGAGGCATAGAATTCCATTGTGTATATATATCACATTTTCTTCATCCATTCATCTACTCAGGGGCATCTGGGTTGGTTCCATATCTTAGCTATGGTAAATAATGCTGCAATAAACATAATCGTGCTGGTGGCTTTAGTGTGGCCTTGTTTGTGATCATTTGGGCAAATGCCCAAAAGTGGGATTGCTGGGTCATAGGGGAGCTCTATGTGGAGTCTTTTGAGGAACCTCCATACTGCTTTCCAAAGTGGTTGAACAAGTTTACACTCCCACCAACAATGCAGAAAGGTTCCCTTCTGTCCACATCCCCTCCAGCATCTGTTGTTATTAAAGTTCTTGATTATAGCCATTCTAACTGCGGTGAGGTGGTATCTCAATGTTGTTTGCATTATCTTGCCCATGTAATTGTAACCCCTCTGTACAGTATTTTCACAATAAAAAACATCAATAAAAAAGAAAAAACTCTGGGTTCTTGGCCAAAGCTTGCTTGGATGAAATTTGAGCCAACTTACTGTAAAAATGATATACAGGACAGAAAACGGGATTCAGTGGCTGACAGTATTCTTTCTCTGCTGCTAACCACCTTCTGTTGGAAGTATAACTGCTTGGATGAGTGTAGATGTGTGTGTCTGACACACTCCGCACCTATTTATCACCTAGCATATGGAAGAGTCTCATTCCCCCAAGTCAAAAGTGTTTAATAAGAAAGTGGTGACTTCCATAAATGGTCATAGAAAGAACTAGGCCGTGAATCCACTGGAAAAGTCTGGGCCATGGTGAGGCAGCATGGATCAGGGTGGGCAAGAGTCATGGAGAAACCATCCTTACCAAGTCCTATTGGAATTCACTTCTTGCTCAGCCAAAAAAGGTGCCATCTGCCCCAAATCTTTCAACTGGCTCTACCTCCCAAGCCACAGGATTCCTGAAGGGCCCAGGACAAGGCCACCTGTGGGTATACATTTAGGTTAAAGAGCCCCAACACACACACACACACACACACACACACACACACACACACACACATTATTTGGAATTGCATTACACTTCAAAATTTAAGCTTATTGTGTGTAGCAGCCTGGAAAAAAAAACAAAAAACTCACACAGGATTTCAGAGTCACTGAACCCCAGAACCCTAAACCCTGGAAATTTCAAACTGAAAATGAAAAGATTCAGAGGACTAAAGGAAGGGTAGAGGATTGGTATGGGGCTGTGACTTTTGAGAAGCCTGCTTGGGGAGGCTCAGCTAATCAACAGTCTAAGGATGCAGCTTAAGCCACCAAATTCAACAGCCAGAGAGAGAAGGTAAACAAAAGGCATGTCATTATATAAGAAAAGAATCAATCTCAATTTCCAAAGGCAAACTGGGTAAAGATTTTATACAAATGGTGGCCACTTGCTGGTGGCTTATACTTGTAATCCTAACTACTTAGGAAGGTGAGGTTGAGAATCACACTTCAAAGCCAGCCTGGACAGAATAGTCCATGAGACTCTTAGCTCCAATTAACAAGCAAAAAGCCAGGAGCCAGAGGTAAAGGTATTCCTCAAGTGGTAGAGCACCAGCCTTGAAAGAATAAAGCTCAAGCCCCAGTGACAACCCAAAATAATTAATTAATTTAATTAAATGAACTACATAAGTATCTCTAGGCTTCTGCTGCAATATTTTGGGGACACTAACCAAGTTCCAATATCCATTACTACCCAGCTAGCCAAGAGGACTTGAGAGACAGAGATAAAGGTGCCCTGAAGTCACTGCCCCTGTCCTATACATGTCTTTCTTTTCCGACTCAGGCCACTAAGCCATGCTGGGCCAGTTACCCACCCTCCTCCATCCATCTTATTCTTAGCCTCTGAAGGCGGCTATCAACTCAGTCACCAGCACTCAGAATCCAAACCTTGTTAAAAAATAAGACTCAAACTCACCAGTCACCGCTTCTCCCTTCCACCATCATATAGGTAAGTAAGAGAAAGAAACAGGAAGGTCAAAATTGCAAAGCACTTAGGGAGTGTTAGGAAGACAATGAATAGCCTTTTAGGAGTGAAGAAAACTGGGGAGGAAATGTGAAGAACCTATGGAAAAATAAAGCAACAGGAAGGGCAAAGCACCCAAGGAAAATTAAGTGAACACTAAGGGCAAATCCGCCATGTGGGAATCTTCTATAGGGGAATCCTCCTTTTAGGCTCCTAAGAATGAAAACGGAGCTTACACTTGCTGCAGAAAATCTAGATGCTCTGATATCACACAACTGCTCACTTCTTTTTTTTTGTGATAGAAACATTCTTTTCATTATTATTATTATCTTTAAGTAGTTGTACAAAGAAGTTTCCATTCTATAAAACAGTGTATGAGTACAAAGTGTCTGACAACAATGTCTCCCATCTCTTAATTAATCTCTTAATTAGTATGGTGACTGCTCAGCATAAAATAAGAAACAAAAGGCATGACAGAGTAACTTTCCAAAGATCTACAAAGTTCTAAACTAGCACACAGATATACTTCTAAGTGCAGTAACTAAGTAATTCTGTATCACCACAGTGAAAAGCATGTCCTTGCATCTCTGATGCCTCCAGGAGGGTGATGTTTGGGCCTAGCACACTGCTGTGTTCCATAAGCAGACAGAAAAATCGGGAGGATCAAGGGTTCAGGTCAGCCCCAAGCCAAAAAGTTGTTGAGATCCCACCTCAACAGAAAATTCAGCAGGAAGCAGCAATGTGCACCTGCCAGCCTAGGACCAGCAGTCCATGCCAACAGGGATGGAAAGTGAGATGCTATCTCAAAAAATAACTACAGAAAATAAAGAAATAAGGGCCTGGGTCCCATGGTAGCATGCCTGCCTTGCAACACAAAGTGCTGACTTCAAACTCCAGTGTAGAAGAAAAAACTTGCCTCAAAAGAGGCATTTTTTAAAGTTAAGCCAATGACTGACACTTACTGCTGCTACTTCAACCTTTAGAAATAGTGACTTTTACAAATTAAACCAACAGGACATGGTCTACAGAACACAGCTATGTCTTTCTTATGTCAATATCCTCACAGAGTCACTACAAAGTTGATAAAAAAAAAAGTATAAATTCCTAGAAGTTCCTGGATTATTTTTTTAAAAAGAGTTAAAAAAGCAGGGGCCTAGAATAAGGCTTTGTGGTACAGTGATTGCTAAGCATGCATGAAGCCCTGGGTTTGATTCCTCACTAACACATAAACAGAAAGAGCCAGAAGTGGTGCTGTGGCTCAAGTGGTAGATTAATTGCCTTCAACAAAAGAAGCTCAGTAACAGTGGGCAGGCCCTGAGGTCAAGCCCAAAGACTGGCCAAAAAAGTAAAGAAAAGAAAAGACACATTGCTGCTCTTACCTAAAATTCTAGCTGCTAAAGAGGCTGAGAGCTGAGAATCGAGGTCTGGAGCCAGCATTAGCAGACAAATTCCAAGCAATATCACAAGGCTCTGAGTTTAAATCCCAGCATGGTATTAAACACACACACACAAACACACACACACACACACACA